CGGAAATTCATAGCTCGAGTCACAGCAATGATAGCGCAGTGGTTCTTACATATATGTTATAGGGGGTGGGATGGGGACACAAGTGGTACGTGATAGGAACTGATAACGACTGATAATAGCTGATAAGAGGGGCTAGAAAGCGAGCATCGCCAATTTCGTTTTGTCGTTCATATTGGTACTAGAGCGTCTATACTTACAAGTGTTATGTGGGGTGGTCCCGGGACATTGGTGGTACATGATTGGAAGCGATAGCAACTGATAAGGGCTGATAAGATGCGCAGAACGCAAAAGTCGTCGATTCCGTTACCTGGCTCGCGTTGACACCAGAGCAACCATACTTACAAGTGTTATGTGGGGTGGGACGGGGACATTGTTGGTGGGTAGAAACTGATAACGATTGATAAGGGCTGATAAGGCGCGTCAGAACGCAAAAGTCGTCGATTCCGTTGCCTGGCTCGCGTTGACACCAGAGCAACCATACTTACAAGTGTTATGTGGGGTGGGACGGGGACATTGTTGGTGGGTGCCAGAAACTGATAACGATTGATAAGGGCTGATAAGGCGCGTCAGAACGCAAAAGTCGTCGATTCCGTTGCCTGGCTCGCGTTGACACCAGAGCAACCATACTTACAAGTGTTATGTGGGGTGGGACGGGGACATTGTTGGTGGGTGCCAGAAACTGATAACGATTGATAAGGGCTGATAAGGCGCGCCAGAACGCAAAAGTCGTCGATTCCGTTGCCTGGCTCGCGTTGACACCAGAGCAACCATACTTACAAGTGTTATGTGGGGTGGGACGGGGACATTGTTGGTGGGTGCCAGAAACTGATAACGATTGATAAGGGCTGATAAGGCGCGTCAGAACGCAAAAGTCGTCAATTCCGTTACGCAGCGTTGACACTAGAGCGTTCCTACTTACAAATTGTAGTAAGTCGTAGTAGTACAAACAAAGGTACGTGCACATTATTTCGATATATATCCAGCTTACTTAATAGCAGTCGATTGCATAAATTCAATCAAGTCTTCAGCAAATGATAAGTTTCATTTCTATTAAGAAAGCCCAAACTCATTAAACCGCTAATCCTTTCGGGGTTCTAAATAATGGTGAATGTAAATAAATGATAAGCCTTAGCTCCTCACTTATGTAAATAGGCATATTTCATTTTGATTTTGAGACTGACAGCAATCCTATTCACCGCTAAATTATCTTAATTCAAGAAAAATGCTGGATGTTTACAGAGTTGTGATCAATATACCAGTTCAGCTCAGACGTTATCACGCGTATTCTCGATGAGCTTCAGTGAAACTGTGAGATGGTTAATGGAGTATCTCATGCTGATATTCCATGGGTCCTCCAATTTCGCTAAAGCCTGCCGTGTGATGCGCGCGATAGCGGGCGAAGCAAAACTGGTGTATTTATATCGAACGACGCTGGGAGGCAGCTGCAATATTACAAGGAAAGATTATATTTTACCAGTTTAGCTCCGCACGCAACCGCGCGCATCACATGGTGGGCTTTAGTGAAACTGGACAACTTGCAGAATATTAGGTCACGTGGCTGAGAAACTAACAGTAAGATGTTTTGGAAGATGTGTCACATGAATTTCAAGGTTGTCCAATTTTGCTGAAGATTGTCGCGTAATGCGCGCAGTAGCATGCGGAATGAAAATGGTACTTATCATGACTTCGTAAACATTTAGCATTGATATCGAGCTCGGGCGATTTAGCGGTTTATAGAATTTCCACAATTGAAGAATCGGTGTGTAAGTGAAATATAACCAATCAATCAGCATCTAACCGAGCTATGATGGAAATTGGAAATATGATGGAAATTCGCTATTGGTCCAAGTCCAGATAGTTGAGCAGCTCAACTTTCTTTGCTTCTTTAGATGAAAGGGTAGGAATGGAACATATTCACGTGCTAGGGACCTGGTTTAGTTCAACTGAGTGCACGCTCAACTGTCGCTACTTTTATCAGTACAGTTGCCGCTCATACCACTTTCTGTCACCTACATTCAACCCTCGCCACCTTGATCGCTTGCCAGTGATAATTGCAACGAAGTTGGAGAGACCTGCATTCAACGCTCTTATCATTCCTTGTCATTTGTTATCAGTTCATACTGTTCGCAATCGGTGTCCCGGTCCCAACCTCCAGGCAACGTGTAGGAGCTAATATTTACTGTCACCACGAAGGCTGCAACGAAATTAGCAGTACTCAAAATCCTAACTTCCTTATCAACCGTTATCGCTTGTTATCACTTTTGATCATCCACTATCCGTGTTCCCGTCCCATCCC